TATCACCAGAGCTGTGACGGATACCCCGGCTAGATCCTCATGTTGGCCATCATCTCTGTGGAGACCTGTACCAACGGCGCGTCTAAGGCCGAAATAAACGAAATACTTGGATGGCATTTCTTCTCCTGGGGCAGGGCATCTCGCCGCCCTTTGAACCTTCGGGCTGTTTTGGATGGATCTTATGGAGCTGGTTGAAAAACTACTAAGCAAAAAACGAGTTCTGCTTCAGACGTTCACTGTCCCGAAGCGCTGCGGTCAGCTCGCTACTGTTCTGCTTCAGATGTTCACCTGCGCGGACAACCCCAGACGGCAGCGTGTATGCGGTATGCTGCTGCCCCTATGTCTGTCACTGAGCACCCAACGCCCCGCGTCTGCGGCTTAAAGCTGCAACATCTTGTCGCAACGCATCAAGGACGCGAAGTCGTCCGCTTCTCCCCATCTAACGTTTTTGGCGCGTTTGGGCAGCTGCACGCCACCGTCTTGCGTTCAAGGCGTCAGTCGCTGACTTCGTGGCTTATCCTCCTTTGACGTCACGGACACGTGACGGGACACGGCCCTGGGCGGAGCGTCGCGGGTGGTGGGATCGGTGCCAGTTCCACCCGGCCGGGCCGGGCTTTTGTGGAAATACGCCGGGTCGCGGCGCCACCGGTCACACCACTGTCAGGTGTGACGTGTCACGAGTCAACACGTGGCTCGGGAACAGCCGTGGCGCCACCGGTCACACCACACCGTCAGGCGTGACGTGTCATGGGTCAACAAGTGGCTCGGGGACAGCCGTGGCGCCGCCGGTCACCCTGATGAAGGGCTGCTCAGTAGCCTGATTTTATCCAAAATGCTTCGAAATTGCGAATCAATGTTGCGCTGCGAGATGGCATGCAATGTGCGCCACCGCATTTGAAACGTTCAATGAACCGGCTCGAATTTTATGAGGCGGAGACAGTAACACTCGTCAGTGGTCGTCCGTAAGCTACGCCATGTATGATGTGGCCATTGTGCAGTCCTCCTGCTAATGCATTAGTTGCGTTGAGCAAAAGCCTTCCCTTTCACCTGGGAGCGTCGTGTTACGCGTAACATCTAAGAAGGGCACCGTTCATTGGCCCCTGACTGAGTTAGAGGCACGGAACAGAGAAGGCCGAGTTGCTTGTGATAAGAGGAAGCCAACGTATCCGGTTTTTAGGTTTTAACACCAAAAGTTTCATAATTATTATTGCTTCATCAAGACCCCCTTCTCCCCCTGCATGTGAAACGTGATGTATGGACGGCCTCTCGTTTGTTTCGCGGATATTACGACACTGAATCGGTTAATATTGCCGATGAGGCTGGCTTACGGTGCGCTGCCAGACAAGCGTGTGTTTCTATGAAATGATGCTGATCTGGGTGACAGTTGGTTTCAGTTGTAAAACCAGTCGGTGGTCTCGGCGTGTTTAGCGGACTTCACAGAACCGTTGACAGCTCGGAGACCGCTGCTCGGGGTCTGACCTTACAAAGGCATCCAGAGAGTTGGCTATGAAGCTTCAGAGGCTTCGTGGGACTTCGACAACCCTTTTCACAAACGTATTTAGCCTCCTTGGCATCAGCAGGGACTCGCTGCGGGCATTGGTAGCGACCCATATCATTGCACGTCGGCGGAAGCGCACGATTTCCCCAAATGCCTGGAGAGGAAACTTCTGACACTGTTGAGAATGATATGCTTCCATTCGTTTTTCAGCATGGAATAAGCAGACCACCTGTGCACGTGTGTGTGACGCAGGCACTTCGGTCGCAGATTTCTTATAAACGTATATTTGAAAGCACGGTGGAGTACGTACCGTAGTCTTCAGTGCTTTCAAGTCTTCAGTCGTCAAATTCTCGAGTCGTTAGGACGAGAGGGAGAGGACACGGCCGCCTGGACTCCCCACCAGCCTCGTCTGTGATTGAGACATTGCCGCTGTCTCTTGATCGCAGTCTGCGGTCCAAACGGAGACTCGGCCCAAATGTAAACGCAGCAGCTGCGTCGTGCTCAGATCTCCAATGCCGTTACGTAACGCGATGCAGAACGTCCTCCGAACGGGCTATACGATACGGACATGACGGGGTTCTACGTCTCACCGAGGCAAATTGCAGCTGTGCCCAACTATCACGAGCATCACTGCACGGCGCAGCCCATCCCAGCCGTGTTGTTATGAAACAGGATAGGCGCGCGACGCTGAAGAGCCTGGCTGGAGCCTGGAGGCATGTCTCGACGTCCTCGGGTTAACGCCCACCGGACCAAGGTCAGCGGCGAGCTCTCGCGCATCCGGCGCGCCTCACGACCGTGGTGCCGGGTCATGTACGCGCAGCGCGGGGCGGGGCTACTGACGGCGGGTTCAGGTTACAGCCGGAGGAGTCGGACGTGGCCGGGACGCTGGCCCTGTCTGGCCGCGTGGCGTGCTGCCAGGCGCCAGCGCCGGCCGCATGCGAAACGGCGATGAGGAGCGCTGGCTGCTCGATTCCCCAGCTGGGCCATTGTGGCCAGCATTGATGGAGGGCGCTCTGCGCTGGGAGCGAGTGCAGCATCGCCGGAGGGTTTCAAGGGCTGACGGCAGCGTCCAGGAATGCCGGATGACGCCGGAAGACGGCCGTGCGGGTGCGCTGTTCCTCGAGTCGCAGACGCTGACGTCACTTCACGGCAGATATGGCCAACGCGTGTGGGATGCAGAGGCCCTGTGAGGCGTAGGTTTCCACTGCCTGTTCTCCCTCATGCCTCCAGAATCTGAGTCATTGCGCGCTGACACTCGGGAAATGCCTGATTGCCGTTTTGTGCCGGTGAGAAATTCGTCGGGTGATCATGATAACATTGCGGATAAATGAGAGGCCCCTCCTCCTAGCTACGCAGACAGCCAGCAGGTGGAATGCCGCCGAGAGTAGCGAGTTAAAGCAAGAGAGTTGAAAAGGCGCAACCAAACGAATCAAGCGATGTCTCTTGAAAGGCGAAATTCCACGCGTACCGTCTTGTGACCAATGTGCAAGACGCCGCCAAAGGGTAACGTAAGGACAACAAACGAAAAAAGAACAGTCATAAATAACGGAAAACCGCGCGTAACACCTGTCGAAAACGTAACATTAACTAGAACGTTGCACGGAAAGAAAAGACGCCTACATTACGTTTCCCGCACTTGGTTCTCCATCCACGCGTAGTTATTTATTTATGGTTATTGTGTAATTACTGCAACATCATAGCACGGCACCGGCCCTGCCAGCTTTTCTCAAGATCGGTCCGATTTTAGCACTAACGTCGACGTCGACCATGACGCCACGCCAGTTTGAGGCAGGCGCTCAGTGGAAAGATGCCCATCCCGGCAGCCACGTCAACTTTGCCAGCATTCCCCCGCCGCCGCCACATCGCTGGAGGTGTGCCATCTCACTGCGCCGTGAATGGGGTCGTGGTATCGAAGCGCACAAATCATAAAGCTAACACCCAAATCACGAGAATTCCTCAACCCAGTTTGCTTTAAAGCAACAAGCGCCATGACTGGCTTAATGATTCATATGAAGCTCCGGCCTGGGTTTTTAAGTTACGTCCTATCACATGACATTGAGTAATGCATAATGTTTTGAATGTTAACAACTACTACGCAGTGAGGTCATAAAGCCATTTCGCAGGATTCAGTACATTTATAAATCGTAAAATTTAGTTGGTGAGGTTGGTTGTGCGTGTGGAAATGATGGGGGGGGGGGGGGGGATTCCCGTATTGATCCAGCCTTTTGGGCTTTGCGACGCGCTCAGCTGATGAGACTATGGCTTCGCCTACCTACGATCCCAACACGAAGGGCGGCCACCGCAGGCCCACAATAGTCTAGAGATAGTGACTGTACCCACTAAAAATCAACCCCATGAAAAATCTTCTTGAGGGTAGTACGTCTATCATCACTAATCATATCGCTTGGATTCATTATACGTGTCATTGTTAATGGCAGCTGTTGGCCCGTTGGTCCACTGTATTGACTCACAGGCATCGAGGCAATTCGCTGCCATGAACCGACTTACTGGGGACGATCGCAAATGGTGGCGAAAACATTCGCTCACTGACAGAAACTTCTTTCTTAGTAACTCAGGTTTGAACAATACCGGCGTTTTCATACCAATAGGGGCATTGAACGTCATCTTACCGGGGTTCCGCCGCTAGCATCCCTGCTACGCAGTGAGGTAGTACACCGTCTCTTGCATGCTCGTCAGCGGTTAAATTAAAGGGAGGCCTAAAGTGTGGTCGCCAGTTTGCTCAGGTCACGCACGGAGATCAGACCCCCAGAATTATGAGCGAAGCCGTACAGCCGCACACCACGTATATGAACAAGCTTAGGGAGTGTGAACACACACACACACACACACACATATATATATATATATATATATATATATATATATATATATATCACTATGAAGGGCCCCCCCCCCCCATATTCATCGTCCTAGCGCTGGGACAGGCGGCCGGGCCAAACGTGACAAACAAAAACCGTACTCGCTCATCGAAAAAAACGGCACGTGGACCACGTATAGATAGATACGGTGGATAGATACGCTGTGCGGCACACAGTGCGTGAAGGATCTTCTCTTCCGCCCCTCCCCGTTCTCTCCGTCCCCAATTCCTACTCCACGCTGATGGCGGCGCTGAAGGAGGAAGGGCAGCTGAGAACGCCCCATCGGCGCCTAGGAGGCACAACAGCTCTCGCAGGACGCCGCCGCAGCGCCACTTACTGGACGTCTGGAACGACAACGGCCTTGGTCTGCTGGCGGCGGGCATAACAGCCCGGGTGGAACGCAGGCTATTATGACGCCCCCGGCGCCGCGCTGCGCCAGACCTCGCCATTCATCCCGCATTCTCCGGCGTTGGCCACGCGGCCAGCCGGGGGCGCGGTCGTGACGTCATCGGCTGGCCGCGCCGCCAGCGGCCGGCGTCGCATCGGACCACCTAAGCCCCGCCCACCGTGCGTGCGTTGGCGGCCGCGCATAAATGTCTAGCCGTCCGGGGGATCGTCCCATTTTGGCGAGGCGGGAGGCGGCGTGGGCATCTGTCTTCCGACGGTCTGCTACGGCACCTCCGAGGCGGTCATGCAGGGCAAGGTCTGGATGGCGACGCTGCTGGCGGCGCTGCTGGTTGGAACGGCGGCCGCCAAAAACTTCATCGCCATCGACTACCTGGGCGACGGCGAGAGGGAGGTGCGCATCCGCTTCGACCGGGTCCACGCCAAGCAGACGTCCATGGAGGTGGTGACCGACCAAATCACGTGAGTACGCTGGCAGCGCCTCCAACCGGGGGCTCTCGCCCTCACGTTCTGCACTGACGCCGTTGGCGTTTGGGCGGTGGGTGTCGGTCGTGCGTCACGTTCACGAGACAGTTCGTCTTGCCACTCATTAGGGACACTGCCGGTCGTGCGTATGTTCAGCGGAGTGTTTTGTATGCCGCTTGTTTCTGCTCTCACATCGGCCAGTGTCTGTCGGGGCGTTGCAGCCTATGCGTGATTCAATAGGAGCCATCGAAGTCACTGACGTGTCTTTTTGTGTGTTACTGAAAAGGTGGACTGGCTACATCAGTCCGTATGACACGCATTTGCAGTAATGCCCCAGGTTCAGCACACATTTCGCGACATAAGTTTTCTCGATTGTCTTTCTCCTGCTATCGTCTCATATCGCATTTCCCCATCATCACGCCGCTCATTCTTTGCCGGTCCTCCCTTCCGTTGCCGACGTCAGTTCTATCCTTCCGTCGCCCACGTCAGTGCTATCCTTCCGTTGCCTACGTCAGTTCCATCCTTCCGTTGCCTACGTCAGTTATAGCCTTCCGTTGCCTACGTCAGTTCTGTCCTTCCGTTGCCGACGTCAGGTTTATCCTTCCGTAGCCGACGTCAGTTCTGTTCTCCCGTTGCCGACGTCAGTTTTATCCTTCAGTTCTGTCCTTCCGTTGCCGACGTCAGTTCTATCCTTCCGTGGCCGACGTCGGTTCCGTTCCTCCGTTGTCGACGCCCGTCCTTGACTACCGACACCACCAAACGGCGAGCCTCCGTCGCGACCTCCCTCTACCCGCCTCGGACCTCTGAGTCCTCGACCGAATACTGACCGGACGCTTTTCCGGCGCGTACCTGTCCGTGCGAGCCGCGGGGGCCGGCCCGGGCTGTGGTCCGGGGAGGCGGCTTGGCAAGGTCGGCACTGCTCCGGTCCGGTCCGGTCCGGTGGGCGCTGGCTCCGCCCCTCGGCAGTCACACCACCGTCGCGCGGGCGAAAGTCTGCCACCTGGCGGCGCGTGCCGCACGTGCAGCCGGTGCCGAAGTCGGCCATGTGCCAGCTGTGAATACCGGACACCTAGCGTCCGGTGCGGCGCCTGGTGTCCGCCCCCGGGTCGGGGCCTGTCTGGTGTCGGAAGGCGGTCACGCTGGCAGGCCGGGGTATTTCCTGGGTCGGTACGGAGGGCGGTAGTGTGGAATCAGCGTAATCCTTTTTTTACTCAAAAATGGTTCAAAACGCGGTTGGAGCTGCGATGCGCTGAAAATATTCAAAACAGGTCACCAGCGTAATTTGTCCTTTCGAAGGGCGTATAGGATGCTGCTATTTTATTTCAAATATCTTTATGAATGTGTTGGCGACCAGGACCTATCATGGTCTGGCCAAACACTAGGGGCCGTGGACCGTCCCTGAACCCACCCATAGGCCATGGACCCTCGAGGCTGGGCGTGACTCGCGCTCGCCGGCGCTGGGCCCGCAGCACTCTCCGCTGACGCCGGCACTCCTGTGTTGCAGGCGCGGCATCCACCTCTGGCAGGTGACAGATGGACGCCACTTCATCCAGTCCATCTTCACGGCACAAGGCGAGCTCAAGGACTGCGAGTACATCCGACGGAAAGACGTCATCGGCACGTTCCTCGGCTCGTTTGAGGCGGACGCCGAACGCGCGCGGCTGCTGGCGGCCGGTCTGGCTCAGCAGGATGAGCAGGACGAGCAGCAGCCGATGCGCAACGTCACCTTCCGCCTGCTGACTGCGCCGCCGGAAGAGTACGCCGGCTTCCTCGACTACAAGGAGATGAAGCGGGCCTGCAAGGCGTACCACCGCGTCATCCGCAAGGTGGTGCACAAGAAGCGGCACGGTTCCGCCGCTGAGAAGACCGACGCCGAGCAGTTCATCCACAGGTGAGCGGTGGTGCCGGCGCGGCCGCGCGGCCCCGCTGCGGAACGGCGGGGCTATCGCTCGCGTCTCTGCTCAAAATAGCGCACAACGCTCAACGCAAATCAGCACAGGAATCTGTTCAGGCGCTTGCAGTACAATTGCCCACTTTTTCTATATGCTGTATATGGTGAAGGAATTCTGTTGTCCATTAAGGAAGTAGTCCGGCGCCAACTAGAACAGCATATCGTGCAGCATCTAAAGGCTTACAGGGCTGCTCAACGGCGGACATGAATTGTAGCAGCCTAACTAGTCTTCCTGTGTCTTGGGTTTTCGCCTTTCTGCATGGTAATTTGCGTGTTTGTGGGGCATAAAATCGGTCACTGTTTTTGTTTGCCCGTAATGTTCAGCACTTGGGAGCTGTGTGTGTGCTCAGTGGCGGGGTCTTTTGTGGCTCTTTGCCCTGACCTCATAGTCCGCGTTAATTGTCAGCGGCCCAGATCTCCTGCTTCTTGTGTGGGTTGTTCAAGCGCCTCTTCGCTTCTTCTGCCTCTCAATGTGTTCCGTGTGTGCTCTGTGGATCCGTGCCGTCCTCGACGCCGGACTCTGGCGGGGTGGTGTCGGGCTGCTATCCAGCGCCTGGCAACACCTCGCCGGAGCTGGTGTTGACGGCGGCAGCGGCGCCAGCGCGCGGCTGGACTATCCTTTCACCTCCGCCCCGCCTCACGACCGCCACCTTCGTCCAGTATGCTCCTGCCGGCCCGCTCTATGCGGGCGGGTCCGTCTCCTCTGTCAGTCTGTCTGGGTCCGTAACCTCGGCTTCTGGTAGGCGTCCACTGCATGTCGGCTACGTCGCTTTGGGACCTGGTATTCACGCTCCGGGCTAGTTGGTTTTTATCCGTGTCGGGATACTTACACAGCATTAACAAGATAGATTGTACAGTGTTTCTACAGATGTCGGTCTGCTTCGAAGTTTTACTGCGTCTTCTACAAAGCTCACGCTTGTCAAACTAGGGCACTAATGTTTTGATGGCGCCGGAATCGGCGTAAGGTGGCCGGGTCTCGATAACGCCATCTGTCGTGGTTCTTCGGAAGCTAGGAAGAACATCCGCTGGGCAGAATCAGCGATTGGGTAGCGATCTTGCGGTCCCATCGGCGCCTACTAATGCAGCGTTGGCATGCGGAAGGCTTCATGGTACTCGTGTGGCTTTGATGGCACCACCACGCCGGCGTCACCACGCCGGATGTTCGCCGGGTCGCCACTATGAGCCTATGGCCGGCGGGATGACCGCTTCTTCCCGCTTTAACTGGAGGCCGCTCTGTGCCGCCGATGCGCCGCTCCGGAGCTGTGTCCGTGTCTCGAGGTGGCGACGGGCGCGGAGGTACGGCGTGCGGCCGGCGCGGCTGCGCGCGGGCGGCTCAGACGCCGCTGGTCGCGTTTCAGGACGCGCCGCGACCTGCGCCTCATCTTCCCGGGCACCAAGTGGTGCGGCGACGGCACCCAGGCCCTCTCCATGTCGCACGTCGGAGGCCTGCACACGGTCGACCGCTGCTGTCGCTCCCACGACTATTGCCCATACGCCATACTCGGCCTCTCGGAGAAATACGGCCTCTTCAACTTTCGCATCTTTACCATTTCGCACTGCCGATGTGACCGGAGGTAGGACATCGCTCCGCTCGCGACACGTGGCCCGTCGACGAGCAAGGTAGGCTGCCGCTGATCACGTACCTAGTCCTCTGCAGCACCCCCCCCCCCCCCCCCCCCCCCCCCCACCGCCGGCGCTTGGATGCGGCGCTGGCCCCTGTCGTCAGTGCCGCCGTCCTGAGCAGCCTCTTCCGCCCTTCCACCTCCGGTCCACCGCGCGCGCTGGCGCGTCAGGGGCGGTTGAGTACACCGGGGCACCCCAACCCTCAGACACCGGCGCGACATCCTGGACGTGCTCCGCGTGCCCGGCACCAAGTGGTGCGGCAAGGGCTACACGGCCACTACGTACAACACGCTGGGAGGGTACGCCGGTGCCGACCGCTGCTGCCGGCACCACGATAAAAAATGTCCCTACTGGATCGCTTCCTTCGAGGAGAAGTATGGCCTCTTCAATTGGGGTATCTCCACACTCAACCACTGCGCTTGTGACGAGAGGTATGTATGTCGCGACGTGAGGTGCGGGGCTCTCGCATCTGGGGGCTTCGCGCAAACAACCTGGTGATTTGGTGTTGTAGGGCGCGTCTGCATCGGGGCCATTAACGTGCTCATGTAATACCCGTTTGAGGATATACGCGAAGCTCGTTTCTGCGGGCGTCTTTTGCGTGTTATAATTTTTGCGCCCCGTTTGTTCACAAGGTGCTGTCTCAGCCGTTCAAGTGAGGTGTCGGAAACTGGCCACACTGCCCCCATGCACGCGGGCGGTGAACATTTTGGAATTTGACCGGGCTTGTTCTGGGAATATCTGCAGCGGGTCTGTGTTTACCACGTGCGGGTCAAAATCCGACCGCTTTCGTCCGATACTGGACATCGACACGTCCCAGACCGTCAATGATTATGGTATGCCCCGCTGTTGACACGGGCCTAGGTGCCTCCTTGCTTATGTTTGAGCTCGAGCAGCTGTTCAGCCATGCATTGTGAGCGTTTGATCATCGATTTCTGCTTACCGTTGGCTGCGGAACTGGGCGTTGCATGCCAAAAGGGATGTCAGACGTGACGCTGTGCCGATTTGTCGCCAGGTTCCACACATGCCTAAAGATGACCGGCTCCGGCGCCGCCAACATGGTCGGCAAGATCTTTTTCAACGTCGTCAAGACCAAGTGCTTCGTGCTGAAGAAGCAAGTGGAGTGCGTCAAGAGCAGCTGGTGGGGCAACGAGTGCGAGGAGAAGCGGATCGTCAAACGAGCAGCTCTGAAGACGGCGCTGGCGTATTAGCTGGCTCCAGGAAGCTGGAGAGTGGAGAGAGTCGCTAGTCACCGGCCGTGTGCCCAGACGAGTCTGCGCCGCACGCGGCCAGATCTCTGGGTCGGGACCGAGGAGTCTGCGCCGCGCGCGGCCAGATATCGGTCCGGACGGTCGACAGAGCCCGGGCTGTCGCCGACACTGGGCACCACGTTCACCCGACGGACGCGCGGTGGAGAGGCATTCGGAGTCGTGGCAGCCAGGGAGCCTGGTAACTGGGTCATAGAGGAGGCCTGGGGTCGCTCAGGTTCTTGGTGGCGGCACCTCTCGACGTGCTGCTGCTACGTAGTCGCGCGCTGGTCCGCAGCGGCCACCGACACTTTATTCATGACATGTTGTTTCTGTGATAGACCCATTATCGCTGGTTGCTTGCCGCTGCGAGGAGTCCGGCTGCAGTGGCCAGCGCAGGGAGGGGGGCGGGCGGCGACGGCGCCGAACCCGCCGATCCCTCGACGCCGGCATCCGCACTCTCCGCCACGTACTCGCGAGCTACCGCCGCGCCGTCTCAGACCGGGTTCTGGTCGATCCTCACAAGCCCATTCACCTGCGTTCATCTAGCTCATCGCCCATATGTGCGGTCGGGACTGTGCTCGGTGAACTGGCCGACTCCTGAGTCCATCCGTCGTCGAGACCACTGCGTCATCCAATGGTCAGCATGTTCCATCTTATTTTTGTACGAAAACACCAATACATTATGCAATATGGGCCCGAGGTGTGTGCGTGGTCGTACGCATGACAACAGATGTGGAAGTTATCACACATGTGACTGAACAGTAAGGTGGTGAACCCAGGTACATTCCAAGTACATTCGGTCACCGATCCCGATAGGGTACGGCAGCGCGAAGGAAAGCTATCCTTTCGTGATGCTTTGACAGGACGTCCACTGACAGAAATTATCCGCCGGTACACGAGCATTGCTTTTCAAATGGCCGGCTGTGAGCAGGGTCATTTTTGGGTACTTTAAAGGATACTAATTCCCGATAGCATATGAATTGGACGCCGTGACCCTCACAGTTACAAAATGCCTAACAAATTTGGTTGGATTTGTGTTCCCGTAAACGCTCGTGCAGTTTGCACGGTCCAGCCTTTCTTCAGGCTGTCCGTTTATTTGTTTAGGCCCGGCGTATTCTCCCGCAGATCGATTTTGAAAAGGCCTGAACACCATGCGGACCGTTCACTGGCGTGCTGTGCGGCACAGGCGTCCAGGTCCGTGCTGTAGTCTGGCCGGCCGTTTGGTACAGGCGTCCTGGTCTGTGCTCTAGCCGGGCCGGCCGTTTGGCACAGGTGTCCAGGTCTGTACTCTAGTCTGGCCGGCTGTTTGGTACAGGTGTCCAGGCCCGTGCTCTGGCCTGGCCGGCCGTCTGGCACAGGTGTCCAGGTCTGTACTCTGGTCTGGCCGGCCGTTTGGTACATGTGCCCAGGCCTTTGCTCTAATCTGGCCGGCCGTCCGACACAGGTGTCCAGGTCTGTGCTCTAGTCTGGCCGGCCATTTGGTTCAGGAGTCCAGGTCTGCTCTCACCTGGCCGGCCGTTTGGTGCAGGCGTCCAGGTCTGTGCTTTAGCGTAGCCGGTCGTTTGGTACAGGTGTCCAGGTCTGTGCTCTGGTCTGACCGGCCGTTAGTACAGGCGTCCAGGTCTGTGCTCTGGTCTGGCCGGCCGTTAGTACAGGTGTCCAGGACTGTGCTCTGGTGTGACCGGCCGTTAGCACAGGTGTCCAGGTCTGTGCTCTGGTCTGGCCGGCCGTCAGTAGAGGTTCCAGGTCTGTACTCTGGTCTGGCCGGCCGTTAGTACAGGTGTCCAGGTCTGTGCTCTGGTCTGGCCGGCCGTTAGTACAGGTGTCTAGGTCTGTGCTCTGGTCTGACCGGCCGTTAGTGCAGGTGTCCAGGTCTGCGCTCTGGTCTGGCCGGCCGGTCAGAGTGGAGCGTAACCGGTTACGGGCTAAGCTCACTTTATAGCTAGGTTCATATGTGCCGACCGCAGTAGGACCCATTTCACATCGGCCTACTACATCATAAAACTTAGGTGACAACGTAAAAAAAAACACGAAACAAACATAGGGAAAATCGCATGGATGTTCAAGTGCTATGCTTTAAGGGGCCTCAGCCCAATGCACATTGTTCAAATGACTTTCTTGATTGCTGAAGAAAGAATGACGGGTGATCACAACATGAATACTTAGGAGTGCTCCACATTTATCTAGGGGTTTGAACTGAAAAAGCCATTTTGAAGACCTTCCGGTGCTCTTCACAATACTGCCCTTCTTAAGACTGAAGCCCCTCTAACTTTTGAGCTGCGCGTCCGCGACAAGGGAGGAAGGAATATCGGGGAGAGTGTTTCAGTCACCTTAGCATGCGTGAGCCACAGCAAGGTCATTCAAATCTTGCCATTCCATGACCCATGCGGCGATCAAGCCCCAAAAACATAATAATCCAGGCGTTCATGTCTGGCGTTCGTGCGTGCGATTTCCAGATATAACGGTCAATTGGCTCTAAATTAATGTCGTGCAAGGTACGCTGACGTAATCAAACCATGACGCATCGAGGAGCATGTTCACTAACCCGGGCATTGTGCAGTCCAGGACAGTCATTTCCACTTAAAAAGTATACCGATAGTTATGAGTGAGCTTGTTTCATCACGTCTGACGCTTGCTTCAAGATCTTCAAATGTGAAACATTCTTCTACGATGTCCCGCATCCTTCCCGATGTCCCGCATCCCGAACGCCTCTAAACGAATTCTCGAAAATTCTATTCATCACAAACATAGATTTTGTTTTGATCTCCAAACTATTTTCAGCTCCTGACACAGTCGCACACGATAGTGACACTGGCGTATTGTAAAAGCATTTGATCACAAACATGTCACGATGGATAAGTTACAAACACGGAACTCGCGCATCACAGGTTACACACACGTCGCCGGCTAGCGTTTCTTTCGTCTTGCACCGGTGGTTTTGGCCGGCGGTACCTCCGGCACGACGATGTTGCCTTCGGTCAGCTCTTGCTGCAGATCGGGCGCCGCGTTGGCGATCTTCTGCTGCGCCTCCAGAAAGAACATCAGGTCCCGCACCTGCTCCTTCAGGTCCAATACCTCCTGCGGCGGCCAGCGCCAGCTCAAGCTTACACAGGGACAGGGGACGATAGACGATATCCATACTAACAGGCACAACTTGAAGAGCACATCTCGACATGTTGGATGGCTGGGAAGGCGGACAAAAACGTCCACGAATAACGTTTAGGTGCATTGATCAGTGAGAGCACTCCACACAGGAGAAAGCTCTTACAGCCAGACACAAAGAACGTAAACCGACCGACTGGACAATATCTCAGCTAGGTCTGCGGCAACGTTATGAAAGGCGTCCTACATGGAATTTCCAGGACAATAAGTAAACATGCCAACGAACAAATCTAAGCACAAACTTAAACGGCTCTTTGAACGCGCACGCACGCACCCATACACGCACGTACGCATACATACATATACGCACGCAAGCACGCATGTGCCCACGTACCCCCCCCCCCCACACACACGCACGCACGCACGCACGCACGCACCAATAGAGGGTAATCAAGAGGGCAGGAACCAGCCCCGGCGGACGTTGCCGACAGCAACAGGCGTGGATCAAGACGTGGACCTCAGACTGAGGTCCAGACGAAGACTGCCAAACGGGGGCGCCTGCAAGCCGTCACGAAGCCAATGCCCTGTCTTGACGATCAACAATGTCATACGTGGTCTGTAATTCCTAACCGAGAGCGGTGCAATTTTTGTATAATCATTCCGCGCGCGAAGAGTAAACGTGCGATTTTCGGCATCACGACGTTTTCGGGTGCGAGCACCGCGGGTGGCCCGCTCAGATGGGGGGCGATCACGAGCACAAACACCAGCTGCCCGCGGCAGTCGCCTCTTCTTCGCTCCTCATCCCATACCACCCCGTCCCCATATGTTTCTAGTTCGCTTCTGTTCGGCAAGCTTACCTTGTCTTTCTCGGATTTCATGCTGTTCAGGCTGGTCTCCAGCTGTTGGATCCGTTCCTGCCAGCCTGTCTGGTTTTCCCGCAATGATTTGTTGATCTCGCGCTCCTCTTGAAGTTCTTTCAGACACCGGTTCAGTCGTGTGTGTGTCGTGAAGGCCGGCAGCTGCTGGATCTGTACGCGGTTGTCCCATAAACATACAGAGCAGTATAATTTTCATCATGTAATGATATTATTACAGTGCATTTGTTTGCGTATGCTGTCTCAAACAAGCGTTGATTCCAATCGGACGTTTTGGTTCAATCGAAACCTTACAGGCCAACTTTATTTTTATATATATATATATATATGTTACCTAGATTGCGAACAATGAAATAAGTGGGGACGAAATGCTTCGAGACAATGCAGTGCAGAGCTGGAGACAGTGCAACGAAATCACGCTATTAGATGTGGGTCTGTTTGCATACATTGTTTGTTATTTTGGTGAAAAGTTCCCAGAAAAGAAGGTTTTACTGAGTCGCCGTTAAAAGGCAGACCAGAGGCGACAGACTGGAGTTTGGCATGTTTATTCCATCCGATTTACTGACTGCGCCCATTTTTCTCCCCGCTGCTTAGGCCAGCCACTAAGAAACGGATCCGTGCCGAACATGCATTTAGAAAAACCAGACCTAAACTCCGCTGGCCACGGCACCGGGCCAAAAATCAATGTGCAGGTTTCGGATTGAAAACCGCCCATGCTGGCACGTGCCGTGACTGGACTGCATGGGATCATGATCTCATGACGTGATTTCAATATGCATCTCCCCATATAAATGCAGCATTTCGTCGTACTGGATAAGCGGTCGGTGCGAGCGCCACTTCCGAGTCGTCACCACTGATTCAGCGTCGGCTGCCGGTACCGTGGCGTCCAACTCTTCCATCTCACGTGAACGCAGTGTCACGCCGAGGACGTGGGGGGAGAGCCAGACGGACGGCGCGGGGGAGGGGCAGGGGGCACGGCAGCGTAACTGCACGGGCGCCAGATGCTGGGGCGGGCGCGCCGGCCGCTACAACGCCACACGCCCCTCCCCGCCCCCTCCGCCTCGTGCCCGCCCACCACAAGTCTTGTCTCGAGACGGATCGTGTGCACCAGATGCGGCTTGTGTTGGTTCGGTGTACATGTACAGAAATCCGAACCGCCACATGTTTGGTGTGCTTCGGGAGCCGAGCGCGTCACGTGAGTGACACACATATTTGATGGCTGGTAGTAGAGCCGCCACTTGGAGTATACTGTGAGCGGTAATATGTGGCGTTCTTCTCATGACATAAGCCCAAGGAAAATGCGACCGATTCGTGCATATTCTGATTTGTTGTGCTCATCGACATGCCGATTGACGACCTAGATAGTAAGGACCGATGCTGTTGCCATTGGGTTCGCATAGCACATGGCGCCCAGAAGCCGGTGTGGACGGTCGTAAACACAACCCGCTGGAGGCAAAGTAAGGTGGCCTAGAATCTCAAGCAGGGTATCGATTTGTGTAAGTGATTGGGGGAGAGGGAAGGGTCGAGCCAAGGATTCGACGATCCGACCATCACCATATGCGTGCTTCTCACACAATTTGGACCGCTAAATTTTGAAAATGACGACTTGTCCATAATATTATGGTATAATTTATCAAATCGTCCGGTATCTGAGGAGCAGGGCTGCAGTCTTACCAGCAAAGTCAGAGGACGGCAAGCTCTGCCTAACCTAACTTATCTCAACTTTTCCTCATTAAAAGTCCAGTAACAAGCATTGGGGCCCAAACCCACAAACCGCAATGGAGCAGGGGCGACGCCCTCGCAGAGTACATACGTTTACGTCTATCTGTGCCGCAAATCAAATGTGTGAAAGCATACCAAAGTATCCATGACCAAACCAATTTCATTTCTTCAGTCCATCCCTGCAGGTAAATGAAACAGTGCGGCTTCAGGATGCGCAGCCAGTAAAACAGCATCTGTTTTCGCGCGGTTGCGTTAGCGCGGGTTGTGGACGAACCGCCAACAACCAGTTGTTCCTGCTCGCCGGTCCAGGCAGGACTCGTGCCACGTGCTAACTCGTGCAACTGACCACCTCGACTCCGCGCATGAGCACAGACAATCGTGACGTCAGCACGGCGCGTGACCTTTGCGGCCCACGCCGGTCTGCGACGCAAGCCCAGGATCGCATTTCACGTCAGAGCGTCTGGGAACCACGGTCGCTGGCTCGGGCGCGGCGCCGTGCGGTTGAGTTATGCTGATGCCGGCGTTAGGGCTTCGGTAGCTGGCGCATATGACATGAAACACGAGGCAGCCTGCGTCCCAAAAAGGTTGACTTTGGCCCCGGCTCGCTCCCTTCGGACGGCTAGGTTTACAGACGGCTACGGACGGCTAGGACGGCAAGCCCGGGCCATGACGTGAGTTTTTGTACCGGACAACCGGAGCCAGCGGTCGGTTGGTGGTTTTTCTCGACGCGTCACATTTGCAGTTCCAAGAATGACAGCGCAGTTCGAAAAAAAGAACGCAGCCCGGAGTGGGATTGCCAGGACCTTATTTTGGAAAGAAACTACGACATTTATTTCTGTTGATGGTTCAGCTTGAGGAACTGTTCTCGTTATCAGTGCCTACGTCCCTGGAAGTGAACATCTTAAGAACGATGCAGAACATTTCTAGAAACTGTGGAAATATTGGACAAGTGCAAGTATGGATAAACGCGAAGTGACCGGGACTGATAACTATAACACGGTCGCCAGTACCCTGCACACGGGAGCTTCACATATAGAGAGGTCCGCTCTGACCACATGGGGTTTGATTTTCCGCTGGTATAATGGATCAAAAGCATAACGGCGCACTGTAACCGGCACACTTGCCGGCCATTCTGTTCCAACGAAACTCGACACGACTCTAGTGGACGGTTAATGCTTATTCGAACCATAATATTACGCGTCTTGAGTGCACTCTGTCCATTTTAGTTAATTATGCATCTGAAATACATTGCTATAGTTAAAACAATGTCTACAGCATACACTTCGATGAAACCAAATCAAACAGAGCAACGCTGAATTTTACCCTAGCAAGCAGATGCATGCCACGAGGCAAGTATTTCAGCATAAAGGTTCAATCACGGACGTATGGAAATGGAAAACTCGAAGACTTTCTCAGCAGATGAAGCATACAATGTGCTGCACATTAGAAGAAGTCGTTAACCAAAACGCGAGTCCCATTTGCGATGCGTCGGCTGAAAAGGGTGCCATCCCCACGCACATTGTCTTTCAAATGCAGCGCCCTGTGGCTGACCTGCGGCCGTGCCCTAGCGTCCGCCCGCGGCGGCGCAGCCACCTGCGTACCTTCTTGTCGGCGGCGGTGCGCTCCCGCCCGGCCTGCTGCAGTCGCTCCCGCAGCGTGTGCGTCTCCTCCACAGCCTGGCGCGTGCGCTCGCGCAGCTCCTCCGCCTGCTTCTGGCCGTCCTTCTCGATGCGTGCGATGCACTCCTCGTAGTACTGGCGCTGCGACTGCAGCTGACTGGTCAGCAGGTACGTGTACTCCAGCTGGATACCCTCCAGCTTCTCCTCCGAGTCGCCGCCCTGCGGTCAGAGGCGGTCAGCCGCCGTCAGGGTCAGTGGCGGTCAGCGGCGGTCAGCAGCGGTAAGAGGCAGTCAGCGGCAGTCAGCGGCGGTCAGAGGCGGTCAGTGGCGGTCAGCGGCGGTCAGCGGCCGGTAAGAGGCAGTCAGCGGCAGTCAGCGGCAGTCAGCGGCAGTCAGCAGCGGCAGTCAGCGGCAGTCAGCGACAGTCAGCGGCAGTCAGCGGCGGTCAGAGGCGGTCAGCGGCGGTCAGAGGCGGTCAGCGGCGGTCAGCGGCGGTCAGCAGCGGTAAGAGGCAGTCAGCGGCAGTCAGCGGCGGTCAGCGGCGGTCAGTGGCCGTCAGCGGCGGTCAGAGGCGGTCAGCGGCGGTCAGCGGCGGTCAGCGGCGGTCAGCGGCGGTCAGAGGCGGTCAGCAGCGATCAGCAGCGGTCAGTGACCGTCAGCGGCGGTCAGCGGCGGTCAGAGGCGGTCAGCAGCGATCGGCGGCGGTCAGTGACCGTCAGCGGCGGTCAGAGGCGGTCAGAGGCGGTCAGAGGCGGTCAGCGGCAGTCAGCGGCGGTCAGCGGCGGTCAGTGGCCGTCAGCGGCGGTCAGCGGCGGTCAGTGGCGGTCAGAGGTGGTTGGCAACGATCAGCGGCGGTCAGCGGCGGTCAGTGGCGGTCAGAGGTGGTCAGAGGCGGTCAGCAGCGATCAGCGCCGGTCAGTGGCCGTCAGCGTCGGTCAGCGGCGGTCAGCGGCGGTCAGTGGCGGTTGGCAACGATCAGCGGCGGTCAGAAGCGGTCAGCAGCAGTCCGTGGGGGTCAGCGGCGGTTAGAAGCGGTCAGCCGTGCGACAATCAGCGGCAGGACAACGCACCTCGGCCATTTTTCTGTGCAGCACACAGCAGGGAAACAGACTATTGGCACAGGCACTGATGCCAACATCGCGGCAGTAAAGCCGCCAAACGTCGCATACGTTACATATGAGTGCAGACAAGAGAAAGGCCGGAAGCGGATTCAATGTTCAGTAGCATGACCAAGAGGAAGCACAAAAGATCATGATTGAGGTCACTGATGCCCCGTGACCTTGTCTGCAGCAGGGCAGTAGTGCTGCAGGGGCTCACGTGTTTGGAGTCGTGACGCCCGTGACCGTTGTCGTCCACCTCCACCATCTTGCCGTCGTCGTTGTTCTGCACCAGCCGGTGGACAAAGTTGTCGCCCACGTAGTCCCAAACGCGCGTGCTCCCCACACGCATCGTGTACGTATGACCCGTGTCCAAGAAGTGACTGCCAACGACAAGTCAAGGCAATGTTCTCAGACAATCGAACAAATCGTTGAGGTTGCATGCTATCAAAACCTTGCAATGGACCACGGGCTGCAACAACTTGCCGCAGTCCGCGACAGTCTGGGTTCGAATCCCGCGCATCGCCCATTCCACTGACCCTGCCCCGAAGACAGGGGCAATAACTTAGTGACATCGCCGACGGCTTGAACCGCGCCACGTGCTAGCTGACAGCGGGACAGGCGGCACTGGTCAGCTGACAGCGGGACAGGCGGCGCCAGTCAGCTGACAGCGAGGCATGCGGCGCCACGTGCCAGCTGACAGTGGGGCAGGCGGCGCCGGTCGGCTGACAGCGAGGCAGGCGGCACCGGTCGGCTGACAGCGAGGCAGGCGGCACCGGTCGGCTGACAGCGGGGCAGGCGGCACTGGTCAGCTGACAGCGGGGCAGGCGGCACCGGTCAGCTGACAGCAGCACGGGTAACGCCGGTCAGCTGACAGCGGGGCAGGCGGCGCCACGTGCTAGCTGACAGCGGGGCAGGCGGCACTGGTCAGCTGACAGCGGGGCAGGCGGCACCGGTCGGCTGACAGCGAGGCATGCGGCGCCACGTGCCAGCTGACAGCGGGGCAGGCGGCGCCGGTCGGCTGGCAGCGGGGCAGGCGGCACCGGTCAGCTGACAGCAGCACGGGTAACGCCGGTCAGCTGACAGCGGGGCAGGCGGCGCGATCTGCCGAACCTGTAGGCGTGGCCGCCGACGTATCTACCGCAGCCGACGTGGCCGCAGATCAGGCAGATCCACAGACTGTCGCTGGCCTGGCACTCGAAGCAGAAGTTGTCCTCGGCCTCCTCCGGGGTCTGCACGTACCGGCAGACGGGACAGCTGGCGGGGAAGAAAGCCCCCGTCACCGCCAGAACCGTGCGCAGCCCGTCCCAGCCGCACAAACCTCTCACTCACACACTGTGTGGTCCGTCAGATGAGACGGCGACCGGGCCACAGCCACACCCAGCGCATGGCACGGTCACCGGACCACACAACACGAACCCACACACACTACGGGCCCACCAAACACCGTGACTGGACCACACAACACGAACCCACACACACTACGGGCCCACCAAACACCGTGACTGGACCACAAAACACGAACCCACACACACTACCAGCCCACCAAACACCGTGACTGGACCACACAACACAAACCCACACACACTTCCGGTCCACCAAACAGTAAATCGGGTGCCGTGGGTGGCAAGTTCATGGTTTACGGCAAACACAGATCAGGTGTTCATTGTATGCCCGACCTCACGCCATATTTGGGATACAAACGAGAAGAACAAAAGCGTCTAGATGGCGCTGTATGGCAGAGTGGTACAGGCAGATGACAGCAACACATGTTAATATACTTCCAGACACATGAGTGAGCACATACAAACAATATTGATTCAAGCCGACAAAGAAACATTCAACTTACGTCTAAAAAGAAGACGGGAGACGAAACAAAGCGAAATAAAGTGAGCATTTATAGCGTCGAAAGACATGGAACGGACCAAGCAACGAACGCTTGTTCGGCAACCACACCACAATATCAACGATCTCTCCCAGAACAAAGCTCCAAAAGAGGCGCTCAATCATCAACAAACAGCGACTAGAGCGGCGAGATCCGACCCCGACTCACCTGGTGTCGCCCCACTGACTCAGACAGCTCCCGTGAAATGAGTGGTTGCAGAGGACAGTCAGGATGCCGTTGACCGATTCATCCATTCGCTCCAGGCAGACCGGGCACGTGGGCAGCTCCGTGAACCCTGCCAAACAACCGGGCACGTGGGCAGCTCCGTGAACCCTGCCAAACAACCGGGCACGGTGGGCAGCTCCGTGAACCCTGCCAAACAACCGGGCACGTGGGCAACTCCGTGAACCCTGCCATAAAGCGTCCTCGTTGTACCGTCCGACAACCGTCGGCAGATGCGCTCACCCGGACTGTCACGCCATAACACCCATATCTAGCGTTATTGACGTCCTAAAAACACCACCGATGCAAAAATCACAACTGACGCGGCAGGCGAAAATGCCGAAAATCAGTGTCACTGAGGTGGCAAAAAAATCGAAGTCACACCCTTCCTCCACGGCCGGTCGCCCAAATACTCTCCGTTTCCCTTTCTCGCTCCCTCGCTCGCCCCCACCCTCCCTCCCTTATGCGGGCAGCTGCGAGTGACCGACCAGCGACATACCTGGGATGGGCAGACGCGCCTCGTCCGACTCGTTGACTAGGTCCACCCGGGACACGTACACCAGCCGACACGTCTCCGGTTCCATGCTGTTGTACCGCACGCCGTTGAAGTTGCGGTAGAACTCGTCAGCCGCGGCCTGATGGGGCAGGGCGCCGGTCGGAGACACAGAGGGTATCGAATTAGGACCGCACCTCTGCCGCGGTCGCACACCTGTGACTACGGCGAGAGTATCCTGGTGGACGCCGGAGCAGCCGCTCAGCGGAGAAGCATTGCACTGAATGGGCTGCGCCCGACCAGCATTACGCGCCGAGACTAGCAGACGTGGCGCTCCTTGTGGCCCAGTTTCAACACTGCGCTCTTCACCGGATCGCGACCTGACTGCGATGAATGACATCACTGAGTCACAGACTTGAAGGAACTGAATGGTACACTCCATTTCCAACACTTCGATACTCAACGACTCTGCGTCCCCTGTTAGCCTCTATCCACGCCCCCGCAAACTACCCATAAAACTGGGGACAGTCGCGAGCAACACAGGCGTTGACAGCCGGAGGAGCCGCGCGGCGGTGGCGCGGGTCGCACGTCGCTAATCTAGCTTTTGTTTTGGAAAACAGGAAACTTAGGGACGAAAGATATTTTGTATGAGGTAAACAAGCGCCAAACTCTATCCCTTTGTATAATTTCTAGTTCTTTGCTGCCAATAAATTTAGGAAGACGTCCGGATTTATCACTGGCCCTACTACATCTCTGCATAATTTTCACGGAGACCTGCATCCCCGCTACCAAGGTGCCAATACTCGCCCATGTTGTCATTAGTCTGCATACAAATCACAACGGAAATTGCAAATAACGGTGGTAAGAGTACGTCTTTGACCATATCAATGAGATGGGACATGGCCAATGTCAAAAGCATAGCTATTGGGATAACCGCTACCCTTTATTCAGCCTTGATGAGACAATGTTTGACACACAGCCTTTGGCGCACCAGGCCGTCAATATCAGGCAGCCATTTGGCTGACCACGGTATCCAGCCTTAGAAAGGCAATGTTTGACAGACAGCCCTTGGCGCACCAGGCCGTCAATGTCAGGCACCCATTTGGCTGACCACGGTATTCAGCCTTGGTGAACAAATGTTTGACAGACAGTCCTTAGCGCACCAGGCCGTCAATGCCAGGCAGCCATGTAGCTGACCACGGTATCCAGCCTTAGTGAGACAATGTTTGACAGACAGCCCTTGGCGCGCCAGGCCGTAATGTCAGACGGCCGTTTGGCTGACCACGGCTGAGGAAGAGATAGCGGATAACATGAAAACTCGTGTTTAAAACAAACAAGCTGGTTGAAATATCATCTTATCACAGTGGTAAGACAAAATATTTCATAACAATCGCAATGAATCTTGCGACTTTCTTCGCATAACTGACCCATCATAAATAGTGTTGGAATACCTGTCTTTAACAGCCATTCACAGAGTGCCAAAAACCACACAGCCAAGGGCGCAACCAGGGTCCCCCTCCCCTCCTCCCCCCCCCCCCCCCACAAGCCTGTTTATGCTATGCACCTTAGGGATCGTCCATAAATTACGTTTCGCATGACGGGGAGGAAACGGCTTTGGTGGGATGAAGCGGAAGCGTAACAAGGCAGAGAGAAGAGGTTTTGGACAGTGAAACGTTACGATCAGGTGTGCTTGTAAATCATGCTCAAATAAAAATATAAACCTTACAGCCGTATGGCGTTCACTTCCTCTTGCAATAGGTCTGTTAATTTACTTCACATATCTTCCTTAATTAGGGACCCGACGAGCGACACAACACAGCACAGGTAGAGGGAGGAGGCTCGCCCAGCATTGGGGCGTGCGTGTGAGTAGCCCCTCGGAGGTGCCCCTCTCCCCCCTTACTAGTTACAGGATGCACTATACTATAATGCACCTGATTAAATGTTGCCGGTAAAAACTGCTCGGTACACACGTCAAAATTAGGAGTTCGAAGAAACACGATACTACTGAAAACATGGAAGCGATAACAGCCTCCCCTGTTCCATGGCACCCAGCGTGCACTGCTTAGGGACCAGGTGCACGGCGGCCACCATGGTGTCGCATTCTGAGCAAAACTCAATGGGGTGTGGCCCGACGAGTGCCAGGCAGACACCACGTTTTTCACCTACAATCTCGGTGTGGATTTTGCTGTAAATACAAAGCAAAGTACTGGGCGCTATTTTGCATGTAATGCCACGTATGGCTGCGACACTGCCATAACGGGCTTTTTTCGCGAAAAAGGCCGCCCGCCAGGCCACTTTCTGTGTGAGTAACCCTACCTACTGTCCCCGTCCCTGAACGTCGATGATGAAGGAGCACACGTTGAATGTTTAGATGAATGAGTGGATACCAAATAAATGAATAAAATGTCGATACCTGATGGCGGAATTTGATGAGTGCCATGTACTGGTTGGGCGTGCTGTCACGGATGATGCGCATGCGCTCGATGTCCGGGTAGCAGGGGGCCGTGAACTGGAGCAGGTCGTGGATCACCATCTTCGCCGGCACCGACATCATGCAGATCATCTCCGATCTCTCCGTGCCCTCCTCCAGACTGGTCATCGCGCTGCAACGCGAACACCGCCGGTGTGGCCCCAGGAGCAGAGGCGGGCGCGACATTCTCCATGCACGCTCGGGGTTCAGTTTCTTTTTTCCTTTTCGGTGTCATTAGTTTAACACATCGCCAAGGGCCTAGCGTGGCAATGCCAGCCTGACGAGAGGGATCGTCCCTGCGCATCTGGCATTCCTGAAGGGGGTTATGAGTGATCTCAAGACGCCCAATAGTTCATTAAAGCATTAAATCATATACCAACCTAGTGCCTATACATCCTTTCATCCTATACATCATGAAAATATAGGTTGAACAACGTATTTTTTTATTTTTCAACCAACATGTGAGGATACAGGTTGAAGACCATTTTACTATGAGTAAATAAAAGTTTAAGACCACATTGTGGTCCCCAACCTGAACTCAGTTCCTGAAAGCGCCTCATAACCAGGATTCCCCCAGTAAGCAGAATCTTAAAAACCGAGACAAGTTTCGAAAATTGGGAAATCACCTTGATCGGAGGGAGAAAATTTAACGTACTCAAGGAAACCACCTCTTTATGGAATATGCTGCTGGCCACAAGCGGTTCAGAAGTGAGATAGGGCTTCGAGTGACTGCTCTCGAACGCATTCTTGCGCAATCAGCCTCAAAAGTTCCAGCGCTATGCATATATATGTGGCAAGCTTCCGGCTGTGGTTTGCATGCCAAATAGTTCGCTGGAGCATACGGCCCTCTGCCACCCATTGATCATCACTGTACATGCCCCATGAAGCTGTTCAAAACCAGGCAACATGTCCGTTAAGCACATAGCATTCTTACGGCCTTTATCAGGGGCGACACAAGAACGAGCTTATGGTACACTTCGACTTAACAAAAAGACACAGGAACCGAACAAGGAGCGGTGGGGCAGTCCCTCCTCCCCACCCCCAATTGAAAGCTGGGGGGCCGTGTCCCCCTCCCTTTATTTGGAGGGCTCATGGAGGGCCCATGTTAAACCAGAAAAGGATTATGTAAGCTTTTAAAAGTCCATTCTGGCCCACTGAGGGTTCATTCTGGCCTATTTATCATCCATTGTGACCAAAAGAGGGCAATTCTGAGCCTGCAGAGGGGCCTCTTCCGACCTGAAGATTGACTTGAGGGGACCATTCTGATCTGTTAATAGCCCATTATTGACTAGAGGGCCCATTCTTGCCTGTAGAAAGCCCATGCTTGCCTTTAGATGGCACATTCTGGCCTTCAGATGGACATTATGATTGAAGAAGGCCTATTATCAACTGTGGAGGATCCATTCTGGAATGTACAGGCACCATTCAAGCTAGAAGTGTCCTTTCTGCTCTGTAGAGGTGTGATTATTGATCTATTGATCAATGAACATTTGCACTTTTTGGCCCTATCTTAACAGAGGCCAAAAGTACATATGTTGTTTGTTTGATTTGCTGATGTGTCAATGTGCAGAAGTCCAAGACTTCCTTTGCTTGAATGTGTTATGCTTATTGATTGTTTTGTTTTGTTTTTGCTGTTGATTCCTTTGCTTTGCTTTATGTTAACAAAATCCTGTGGAAGATATATCCAAAATGTAGCATCAAAACATAGTTGTTACAAAGTTTTGGGTGCTCATCACACTTTTATGAAATGACTGTGTCTTAATGTATTCTGCTTCAGTGTAATGGCCAAAGATGTGAAATTGTTTTTGATATTTAAGATATTATGACCATGCCAACTTAAAATTCATGTCTTTCTTTGCTGGAGCAGCCCTCACTGACTCATAAGTTCCATTGTTTGGAACTTAAATTTCCACCCCTGCACGGTCTATTTGAGATGGACCTTTTCACTCCCCCCCCCCTAGCTCAAAAACGAGTCTAGCTTCCTGTGCTCCACCATTCTCACTTTTCCTTGTAGAGGTGCAGCAGGCCCTTGGTGACCTCGACGAACGGGTTTCCCGAGATAAACGGCTTCTGGTCCAGCGACGCCTCATCAGACGGCGTGCCCTCCTTGCTGGGCCGCAGCGGCAGCGACGGCTCGCGGCCCGACTTGACCAGGTCGGCATACGAGACGGCCTTGCCGGACGGCCCGATCACCACGTCACCGTCGGGCGGCTCGCGATCGCGGTCCCAGCGGAGCGCAGCCGCCTCGGTGACGGCCGCCGCCGCCGCCTCGGTGACGGCCGCCGCCGCCGGCTCGGTGACGGCCGCCGCCGCCGCCTCGGTGACGGCCGCCGCCGCCGCCTCGGTGACGGCCGCCGCCGCCGGCTCGGTGACGGCCGCCGCCGCTGGCTCGGTGACGGCCGCTGTAGCCGGCTCGGGGACGGCCGCTGCCGCTGGCTCGGTGACGGCCGCTGCTGCCGGCTCGGTGACGGCCGCTGCTGCTGGATCGGTGGCGGCCGCCGCCCGCGAGTCGGCGCGTGCAGACTCTGACCCTGCCGGCTCGTCGGACGGCGGGACGGACGTCCGCGCAGCGCCGGCGGCGGCGTCCACCAGCTGCGGCACCACCGTCTCCACAGTGACATGCGCCAGCGCGCGCCTGTCGTGCTGGCGGCGCTGTCGGCCAGGGTGACTCTGGCCCAACTCTGAGGTCCCTGCAGAGCCTCCTGATGCCATCTTTACCAGCTTCGGGGCTGTGAATTGAAGCAAAAGTTTGAGGAGACATCAACCCTAAGCTGGCAAATTGCTTACTAGGTGATAAGTCAGCAGTTCTTATGATGAATATTCTAATTTTCTTGAGGGATCTGTGCATCTGCAGCTGAAGGCTCTGTGTACACATTTGTGTAATGTTGTCTATGTATGTTGTGGGTTTTACAATACAGAAGGCATAATACAGTTTTTACACTTAGAAACAGATTGCTGACAGTCAGCTGCATGATAATTGGTTTCTTTCTATATCACACCACAGACTCTTGGTTATGCCCTAGTCACCAGTTAGAAGTGCACTTAGCTTTATTAAAACTGAAAATTACAACAGTCCAAGTGCAGACATGCCATGTATATCCTACAAGCACATGAGCACAAAACTGCTATATTTGCTATCTATTTTCTGCATCTTTCTAAATGGTGATCATTAACTATGTTCCATTCAACTGATCACATGTTCTACCACACTAAGCCTGGATCATAGATGCAACACTCTCTCTTTTATGTTCATAGAGCTAAAAATATATTTCATACATACAATCTCTATGACCATTTATCTCATGATAACTGGATCCATATTGTTGCCTTGAAGCTAACCATTGGGTGAAAAACTGAGGTCAGGTCAACTTATGTGGAATGTTAATTTTTGTGAAAAAACTGGTAAGCACTTTTGCCTGCAGTCACCCCCTCATCACGTTTCCTGGGACGGTTGGCTCCCTACATGGTGAAATTGGTGCCGACCATACACCAACCTTGAGCATAGAATGCGGGCATTTATAATATACATGCACTGAAATTATGACCTGGATGTCGCTGCTGCATGTTCGGGCGCTATGTGCCTTTCTGTATTCTGAAAATTGGGCACCTAATTGGTTCTGATGACAAATAAGTCTGAAAATCCTTTAACCTTGAAAATCACCCTCGTCAACCCTTTTACCATCCGATGGTAGTACAGATAACCGCTCAATCAAAACAACCCAATAGACCGTACTGTGATAGCATCAGTTAGGGTGCCCTTCAGCAGCTACACGTGCCTTGGCGTCTAAAGGCCTGGTTATAACTTCAACAAAATCCCACAGACTTACCAAGGTAGTGCTCGAAATCTATTGGATTACGACTGTTCGTTACCTCTAAACGGAATGCACAAAGCGATACGGACATCACTGCGCACTCATCAAGCACAGCACGGCATCTCCGATGTCCACCAAGGCCATGCAATCAGACAACGGAGAGTTGGACAAACTCCTCTAATCTACTGCCAACTATACAACTTCCCCACCCTGGGACTCGGCGCTCCAGAACTGCCCACATTGCAATTCTAGACGCTAACTGAAAGAACCAGTGCAGACATGCGGGTTTAAAAATTTGGCGGTTTCAGGTCAACAGACATGAAGCAAACACATTCGTTCTGATATCGAACGCCCGACCGCTTTGGAACCTTTCCCAAGTGATTGAGTACAAGGTGGTGGTATAATACTTGTAGGACACTCCCCAGTAGCGCGGGCAGGGGGCAAAGGGGTCACGTGTCCCCCCTCAGGTTTCGAGGCGCTCGAAGGGCCCCTCAGAACCTACGATTTGGAGCCTGATTTGAGGGCACAGAGGGCCCGAAAGGCAAGCTGGAGATTTCATTCATAGTCCCCGCCCCGCAGGGGCGGGCACCTCAATGCCAGCCAGATGGCCGTCCCCGCTGATTAGGAGCCCACTGAGTCGACAAGGACCTATATTCCAGTCAGACACCACCAGTAACCCACAGTCGGCTCCGTGGCGGCATGGGCCCAAGGGCCCATTTCCCAAGCGGGGAAAAGCCGGAGCCAACAATTTACATTGCTCGGGGCCCCGCAGCGCCTAACATAGGCTCTGTGTTGTCAAGGGGCCTCGAGTCGGCCAGAGGCAGTGTTCGAAAAGGCCGGGGGAGCCTAAAGGGCCTACCGGATCCGACAACCAAAGGCGCGATTGTAGGGCCTATTACCCAATTGAATATGTATTGTACATTGTACTTTGTGTGCCTCTGCCCACCAAAAAGGGAGATGAGACCTTGCCCTTTCGCACAAAATATGTCGAAATGTTCTTGCCGTAATGTGTAGGACCAAAAATATTGTGTAAAGAATGTGCGCACGCTTATGCACTACAAAAACAATAGTCTATGGCTGCATGGCATGCGTCGCAACTAAAAGGTATGTCCAATCGAATGGCGAAGGTTTGGAAAAGGTCGGAGCAATAGCTTTTGAGATACGAGTTGTCTGTACGCAAGAACTTTCGTTTCGGAGCAGTTTCGGAGAATGAGCACGACCGCTTCATATGTCAGTGTTTTAGTCCCTGCCCATAGACACTCCTGGACAGCTGTTTGTTGCAGCCAGTTAGGCTCAATGGAATACTTGTGCCACATGGCCTCAGATGTGACCAGTAGCTCACAGCGATACGTGCGGTACGCTGGACGACACTTCGTTGAAATCCAAAGAATCTTCAAGTGTATCAGTTGGTTTATTAAACACACTCGTCCACCATTTGAGCCGTAGTCGAATCGCATGTCGTTTTTTATGCGTCAGAGCAAGTGCTACCTAAACCCTTTTGGAACTGCGGATATGTAGAGACAAGCAGCACTGGCACAGTTCAACTCACAAAAACGAAATCATCGCGTCCTACATACCGAAACTGCAGCATGTTCGTGGTTTACACCACTCAATCCCCTTTATCTAGGGATAAAGACATGATACGGCCCCAAAGTACACCCACAGTCCATATTTGGTAGTTGTACAGTTGTCGCAAGATAAAGATTATTCCGTCAGAGCGCCAACGACGTCCTCCACGATCAAGACGGTCGTCGCGTCTATCTCAGGAACCAACCTCCGAAATACGGCAGATTTTCTCAGAGAGCTCAGCATGCCAATACCCAATGCTCAGGAAGTGAGCCGAACGTCTCTCAGCGTGCGGAGCAGGTACAATCACGGCACCGCAGAAAACGTAACATCAATATCAAATAATACTGCAAAGTGAGCACATACAGCTTGCAAAATAGTGTGCACTTATATATCCTCACAGCCACTAAAACGGCAACACCCAATGCATTCCTAAGGTTCAGGTGGGCTTGCCCCCCAAGGCTACCGTCATCTGTCCACGTCTTCTACATCTATGTCACGATCGATTTCGTTTTTCCGCACCTGGTTCGATCTCTCTACCTCTTCTACGCCAATAAACCGATTGCACTCCCCGTCCAATACGTGCTTTGGCCTACGCTCGCCACCTGCACCAACCGCATCATCACCCTGGCCTTCCAGATAATGTCTGGCTTGCTCCACTCCTTCCACGCTAACGCCAGCAGTCCGGCCGAGTCGCGCCTGAGACGTCCGGTTGCCCGCCTCTGCCACGTCCTTAGCACTGCGCTCACCCGGCACCGGAACCAACCTGTCCACCTCCTCTACGCTGATGACATGCTCGCTCCCATCTTCCGGTGTATGTATAGTCCTGTCCGCCTCCTCTTCGCTGAAGTACCCCGTCGTGTCGCCCGGCTCGCGGTGGGCGACCGGCGCGCCGAACCCCACCAGGTCGTCGCCGCTGAAGTTGCGCACGAACGCGTCTTCGGCGTCGGCGCGGCGTGCGGCCGCCTGGCGTTCGGCCTCCGACGCCGCGATCTTGTGCACGTACTCGCTGGTCGCCCAGACGTAGACGTCGAGCGTCTTCTCGGCGCACTCGGCGATGAAGCGCACAAACGGCCGCACGTCGCCCTCGTTGGCCAGCTGCAAGCAGCGGTAGTAGATGTGACGGTCTTGCTTGCGGATGATGACCGGCGGGAAGCCGGCCTGCATCAGGATCAGGTTCATCAGCAGCCGCGACGTGCGTCCGTTGCCGTCCGAGAACGGGTGAATGAAGACGAGCTTGTAGTGCGCCAGCGCCGCGTACTTAACCGGGTGCAGCGCCACCGTCTCCGGCGCGTTCAGCCACTGGATGAAGCCCTCCAGCAGGGGCGTGATGCGTGTGGGTGGCGGCGGCACGTGTTCGCTGACGTACACCTGCGTCGTGCGCAACTGTCCGGCCGCCAACGGGTCGGCGTGACCCATCACGCGCCGGTGGATCTGCAGCAGGTCATCCAGCGTGATGTCGCCGATCCGGTGCACCAGAGTCGTGTTGATGTACTTGATGGCAGCGTCCAGTCCCAAGATTTCGTTGTGCTCCATGACGCTGCGGCCGCCCACAGCCATGCGCGTCTCAACGACCATGCGCGTCTCGGCCAGCGTCATCGTATTGCCCTCGATTCCCACCGTGTGGTGGATTTGCTGAAAGTAGGCTTCCTTTTTGACGCGGCGCAGTGCCGAGCTGCTGTCCGGCACCTTCGCCAGCTCCAGCAGCTTGCGATCGATGCGCCGCAGCAGCTCCAGGTCGCTTTGCTCCACCAGCGGCTGCGTCCGCTGTCGGTTTGCAGCGCCCGCCGGTGGCCCGGCGCGAAGATGAGGGCACGCGTGTACAGATGGTTGGCGCGCGTCACGTCTGAGAGCTCCAGGAACTCACCATACTCAGTCAGCACATCTGGATGGCGAGGGCTGAGTGCCAGTGCGTGCTCGAACAGCTTTCCAGCCTTCTCCAGCTTGCCGAGTTGGCACATCTGGGCTGCAGCCTGTAGAGTGTTGCGGGCCTCATACTCCGCATTCTTAGCTGCGAGGGGAAAGGCAAAAGTTGCTTTGGTTGCAGTGATTGCATCTGCACTGAGACAGAGCTCCTGCTAATTTCAAGTGACAGTTGGCTCAAATTTTGCATGCATCACCACCAAATAACCTGCACTAAAAAGTTTCAGCAAATCATCAAAAATGTGGGGGTGAGGGTGCTAATGCCCCAATGTGGCCAAAACTAGACTTAAACTAGAAATTGAGTTTAACTGACCAACTTCCTTTTTGAAGTGGCTACTTATTTTGGGGGGAGACTAATTAAAAGCTGGGGATTCCTAGCCAACTACCTCAGAAACTATGCATATGCCCCAATGCAATCAATGCATGCAGTAGCAGGGGATCATGACCAGTGTCAACCATAGCCTTGACAGCAGAAGTTTTCTACAGAAAGACCAGCAGAAGCAGCTATTCCAAGCACATCAAAAGGAAAACAATTACTTAATATAAAGCATTTCACATGGAGCTGTAGCAGATGCTCATTATTCATGAATGAGTGAATCAGATTTAAACTATCACTAACATATGCCACTGAAACATGTGTAGTATAAGCACACATTCAAATTTTGTGGTATTTGTGACTACATTTTATCACTTCAATTGCCTTGTCCTTCATACTGATCAATCATAAAAACATTGTACTCATGACATGATGACAGAAGGAAACTGAAAAAATGCCCCCTGTGACAGGCAGTATTATGTACTTACTCTTTTGATCATGGTTAGGGTCTTTGGGGGCTAACTCAGTTCCAGGATTAAGGAAATTGGGACTAAGATCGTCAGTATGCAGATAAAGTTCATCTTCAAGAGGAAGAAAAGAGCCTGGCTTTGTTCCAACGATCAGTCCACCAGAAAAGTGTTCCAAAATGAGTGAGCTCAGCAGTGTGCAAGAGACACCTACCAAAAACACTACTATTGATGTAAGCTTGGACATGCTCACAACATGCTCCTGCAGGTCCTCATCAATCAATTTATGTGTCACTAGTTTTCATGACTTCACAAAATCACTTCTCAAAAGTAACCACTCGTGCTGATTCGCAAAAGGGACAATGGTCGTTGATACTTGACCCAGCTATGAAGCTATATACGCAAATAGCAACCAAATTTTTCCCTGTGAGAACAGAACTGTTAAAGTGATTCAGCGTATTCTGGACACACAATGCCCTTTATATGAGGATTTGGTGTGTAGACGCATGGAGAAAAGGTTGCGTATGGTGCTCCGCCTCACACTTCGATTTTAGTACACAAGTCTGCTCCATACGTAAATACACGTAATCATTTTGATAAACGAACTACCCGCGCCGAAGTTGTCATCACTAAATGAAGCAAGCTGGACTACTAATTGAAGAAACGTGACGCTTCAAATCAAGTGGGCGGCAGTATTCATGCGGCTCCGAACATGGGTGCCGATTTCTGAAAATGATTAGGGAGCAGATTCAAGGAAGTTATCATTAGGGGGCATGGCCAAAAACTTCTTGGGCTTGTGCCTGATTTTCTTATTATTACTCACATTATATATATATATATATATATATATATATATATGCTTTGCTTACGTGTCTTTTCAAATCTTACGTGCGTGGCCACAGCAATTATGCATGGAATCAAGCATCAGAATACTCAACTTTGTTCAGAATCGAGAAGGGGAAGAGTTACATAACCCAGGTTTGGTCATGCGCGCTCGCAAGTCTAACAGCAAAACCCCCACTCCCGGCATTGCAGTTTGCCGAGGCAGTGCGGCGTCGGTCCTGCGTCTTACACCAGGCGGTGGCGAACGGATGGAGGAAAACGGCAATGTTTCTGGAGGAAACACCTTTGAACGCTTTAAAATGTCAATTTGAACGCCTGCAATGTGTTCTTGGAGTATATTTTACCAGTGAAATTTTCAGACTTATGATATAAACGGATTACCATTTATAACACTGTGAACCTTTGCAAGAATTTAATGGTGGAACAAGGCAGGTAAAAGTGGAATCTACGTTCGTGCTGCTGTCGCTGCATATTTCATCAGAGGATAGGCTCAAAACTATTGAAGTGGAATATGCGCTGCAGTCCAATTTCTGAACAGTATGAATTCATTTGTTAAAACTTTTGGTTGCATTATTTTACGATGGATGTTCTCGGGCGCCAGGCGCCCACCACTCGGTGTCAGCCGCAGTACGCCGCTCGGTCTCATGAAAACTACAACCCTAGCCTCTGATGTTCTTGCTACTAAGATTGTGAGCACGTAGGCCCAAAGCTGCTTTATGCAATTTGCTTCACATGATAATCCTGAACAAGGATCGATCGATATATTTTACTGACCTTTTTCATTCTGAACTTATTGTGATCCGCCTGTTGGCCATTACGGAAATCCTTTTTTCCGGGCAAAGGATCCAGTGTATAGATCAATAGGGAACAAATTATATTTCCCGGTCAGGGGCTTCAGGACCATTCGGTTACAGCGTGGAGTGCTCGCTGGCTGTCATGCCGGTGACACAGGGGCGGGATGCTCTGGCTGATACAGAAACCCTGAAAGGGACACGTCATACATTGTTGGCCTGCCTGACGGCAGAGGGCCTCTGACCCGACCATTTGTTCCCAAATAGACGCAGGGTTCTCATTTATACAAAAGATCACTATAATTGCAGGTGTCCCATAATTGGCAAAGAGACTTCCACAGTTCGGCATAACGGACCCCTGGCTGAAATGGGATATAGAGCCCTTCGTTCGGTACCGGGGCCCTTCCTGACAAACTGCCTTCCATTATCGCGTTGTGGACTCACATCGTTAACTTTCATCTCCACTTGCATTGCCAGAAGGCCTCGACCAACGCAAAGGACCCCTGGCTTTTGGGGTCCCGTCCCGGTCCCTGTCCAAAAGATGTTGCCCTGGTCGACTCGAGGCCCATTGCGAACATTGGGCCCTCTATCAGGCATTGTGGGTCCCTGACCAGTAAAGAAACCCTCATTGTTGCAAGGGACCCGACACCCGACCTGACACCAACCCACGAATCGCGGGTTTTGACCTTTTCCCTGCTTGGGAAATGTGCCCCCAGCTCCCAGACCGACACGGAGCCAACTGCTCGGTTTTGGTGGTCTGTGACCGAAATAGAGACCCGAATTGCCCCAGGGTGTCTCCAGTCGGTGTAAGAGGCCCTCTAACTAACATCTGATGGCCCGGCCCTGCCCTCTTGCCCTCCAAGCGGGCACTTGATCATCGATTTCGAGGGACCCTCCGGCTCCTCTGCGGGACCCCGAACACTGTCCCAGGCTGATGCTAAGCCCCTTGTAAATACCTGACCCTTACTAGGCTCTGTGGTTCGCTGACTGATACGGGAACCACTCATTGACTGAAGGGTCCCTACCAATGAAAATCGTGCATCTCGGCTCCGCCTTTGCTTGAGAAACGGGCCCTAAGTCTCAGACGTGACTGTGGAGTATAATCTTGTGACGAATATTTCGCGTGTTACGGTCGTTAAGTCTATCATTGTTGTGTGTTTCGCAAAATAGGATTGGTGAGGCCAAGTGGGAAAAACTAGCGTCAGATACATTAGAAAGCAGGATACTTCCCTGATTAGGCCCAATTTCCCCTGAGTGACGTTGTGGGGTTGGAGTACCCCCAACACAGACTGCCAAATACAGACCTCGTCAATACGTTTGCCTGATCTGTTTCGGTGAAAGATCTTCTCGTTCCACATCATAATAATTTCGTCTGGCGTCAATCGCCGAAGCCAGGCTTCGGTAATCGACACAGAGTCGGTATTATGTGACTTCGGATGTTGAACGTGTACGTCTTCGGGAGCGAAGAGATCCTGTAAATTGATTTGTGCGACCAATAATGTCTCCCATGGAAATCCCGGCTGATTACCGCAAAACGGGATGCAGGTGCATCACTTCCATTAGGCATGTTTGACACGGCTTGTGTTGATGGTTGTGGTTGGACGATTACTGCTACCGGTTTAGCGGGCTGGTGCTGATTGTCAGGTTTTTGCAGCTCTGTGCTGGCATGGGGCCCCTGGTCAACGTAGGTAAACGCATTGCCTCAGTGGGTCCTCAAACGGTGCAGGAGGACATTAAACTGATATTTCAGGCCACGACCGTGCGGTTCGTGATTGTTAATGCGACCTACAGTCAGTCCTTCGGCTCTTATGCCCTCCAGCCGGGCGCTTAATAGTCGGTTCCAGCGGGCCGCAGCGTCCCCTCTTCGTGCCTCATCGAACACTGACCATGGTCGGCTCGGGCCCCTAGCGAGCACATAATCCTCTGTTCAGCGCTGCGTTTCCTGACCGATACAGGGGTCCCGACCAGTGCAAGTCACTGGGCCCAGCTTTGCAAATCACTGGCGGCCATGGAGCCAGCTGTGCGTTACTGGTCGTATCTGACCAACATATAGACTCTACCAACTCAGGGTACCCCTGATCAGCGCGCAGGGCCCTCTGGCCTGCCAATGGTGGTACGCGACCCTGCGGGCCGAGGCCCCTGAATACGACCTCTGGCCGGCCTTTTGGGTCCTTGTTCCCCCTCAACTCGGGCCATTATTCGTAGGCTACGAGGGATCTTTGGGCCCCCGGAACCTCAAGGGGGAAGGGTAAGAGAGGGAAATCGTAAATCTCGGATTTGCACATGCTCCCTGTACCGTCCCTCCGCCTGCGTTACCGCATGTTTCAAAAACATACTTAAGTGAAACCTCATGACTCGTTGCATCTAAAAATTACACTGGGCAGCGCGACTGCAGCACCGCCAAAGCATAATGAGGATATCTAAACTTCAATCATTCTCGACTCAAAATTACGCTGTTAGCGCTTCGCGACAGCAATGCGCTTCTTCCTTGTAGGAGTGACCACTGTCGTCGCGGCAACCGCCGTACGTACCTGTCACATGGATATTGTTATTCCCCCATTCCCAAAGCCAAAGTGGCCTTCGAAAAGAGCCGCTGTGGTAAACTTTGGGAGAAATCAAAAGCCATAGTGTAACGTTCGGTTGAAAACGCGGGAAAATAGCTTCATCTTGTCATATATTTTGTTTCAACAGTGTTTCCAGCTTACGTACCATTTATAACACAAACAGTTTAACACGTCAGTGCGTTTTAAACATTAAAGAACAAAAGCAAAGTGAATGAAATGCATTTCTTTCATAATGATGAGCAGGGAGTAAAATACAATTTCTCCCGCAGGTTTGGCTAGTTCAAATAGAAATTTTAAGCTTTTTAGGACTTAGAGAAACATATGATTCGGATCAAATTGTACGCGTGTGGTGTAACAATAGGTGAAAGGAAGAAAAGGGAGGGATTCTGCCTTTCAGACATTACGCCGGGATTCCCCCGTGGTACTTCACGCATGTATGACGCTGCATGCATGTCGTGCGGTCTGATTCTTTACAGCGTATCGACAGGCATCAGATTAGTTAAGCAGAAACTCAATGGGTGCAGGAATAAACCTCTGGTCTATAAGTGCATGGTCATGTCCAGCTGTGAGCCGGCTTAAAACAGATGGTTACGGGGGATATATTAAAAACTTCCCACTGGCATGATCACAGTGTCAAAAGCATATAGCCAAACTCACAACGACTGACAAAATTTATGCCGGAAGTCTGAAAGTGGGCGTTTAAGGTGAATAATACCAGTAATTTTCGAGGATTGTCATGGTGCCTTAAACGGTTGCAAAATAGTACCGCCGGAAGCAAGCCGTTACGTCACGAAGAGGGGTCTACAACTACTGCGCTTGTGCGCCAAAATGACAAGTCGTTTCCTGCGACAGTGGCGCAGAAGCAGGTTCTGGACGGTTAGGTGCTCAGGGAGCGTCGTCCCAGAGAAGCGGTCCTCACGTTCGCGAGTGCGTTTACGTCATCCAATGCTCAGCGATTGGAATCTCTGAACTGGGTTGGGCGGTGGGAATTGAGGCAGCAAGAGTGGCCTAAATCCGATGAGGATCCTGGATATTTGTATTCGCCAGATGCTTTAGAAGACTTCGGCAGTGCCGCGTCCAACCTCGCCGAACTACTGGAGAATACTCCGGTGTTTTGACAACAGTGCTCACGGAAATCAACCTCTCGACATCTGGATCACTTAGCTGCTGGCCTTGCCAGCTCATAACTGCTTC